AACACGGGAATATCATTGCAATAACTTATGCAGAAAACCATAAGAAAAACACGAGAGTAACACGGGAATAACACAAGGATACCACGAGAATAACTTGGGTTATTGCCCTCTTAATGTGCGCTCGCAGCGAATATTCCCTGTGTTACTGACCGATTAATCAGCGTTACTCTGCGTTACCACGCATATTCTTCTGTGTTACTACACCGTGTTACTGCCGATTAATCAGTGTTATTCCTAAATTCCTCGTGTTATTCATACGATCAAAGATTTGTGATATATTTTTAAACTATTTTAGATAAATTTTATATTATAAATTAAATAGGATATGTAATATTAGTATATTTATTGGCTCAGGGTGTTATCTATTACTCCAGTATATTATAAATTAATAACGTTCGTGTTACTCTCGTGTTATGTACGTGTTACTCCCGTATTACTCGCGGTGTACCACATGCGTTACTCACGTGTTACTTTCGTGTTATCCATTTGTTACTCCCGTGTTACTCAGGATGTAGCAGATGTGTTACTCTCGTGTTACTCATATGTTATCCACGTGTTGCTCCCGTGTTACTCAGGCTGTAGCATATGCGTTACTCTCGTGTTACTCACGTGTTATCCACGTGTTACTCACGTGTTACTTAGGATGTAGCATATGAAGTCTTACTAAGGCAGTTGACCAACATGTTACTCAAGTGTTATACAAAAAATACTAACAGTTAGCTATAAACATTGTGCCAAGATATAAATTAAGGCAGTTGACCAACATTCAGCAAGCTACAAACACGTGAGTAAGCTATACAAATAATCAATATACATTAACCATGAAGCTCTCACATATACAGTTACCTAAACAAAATATGCAAAGAAAAATTATACAACTTTAATCAGAATTCCTCGAAAATAAGCACATGTCATAAACAAATTCTGCTCTAAATCGCTCCATATGATCCTGCCAGTTCATATGTGCATTCCAGTCGACTTCTTCGCCCTGCACTAGAGTTTCCATGTACTTGCATACGAACATGCCACAATCAAAACTATTTTTTTTGTGTTGGTACATTCTTTGTAATTGATAGGGACCATTTATTGATTTTGACTGTAAATGAATCAGCGGCATCTCTAGCAAACATATTCACCTGAATGATATTAAGATGTTACTATGTTAATCTTTGAATGCAATTGTGTTACTTTTAATTTAGTTTAATATACTTACAACTTCCATAACACCAGCCTTATGTATTGGTTGGGGAGTGAGTCGTATATTCGCCATTTTCTCAACTTGAGATCAAGAACCAACAAGATCCAATGTTGATTATGAATGATTGGAAATAAAATGGTTTTTGCTTCTTTTAAGGGATTTTACATCTTTTGCGGCTTTGTTGGTGATATGTTTCACATAAGGTTTGCTACCATATGTCTTATGCATATGCATAAATATATTAGTTTAAATGTGCAAGGAATATATGAATTTAAGTTGTATGAATAGAGTTTATAAGTTGTAGTACAAGCCCCATACATTGGTGAAACATACAGGTAAGGCCGGTACAACTTTGGTCGCCTTAAAGTTCTTTCTCGCAGCATGACAGCAAATATATCAACATGTTCGTCTGCAAGCCACTTATTTAATAATATATCTTCCAGTGCCGATTGGTGAATCAAAATATGGTCTCTGGTAATGATAACGTCACTACATTGAAACCAAAGATAGTTCCTCTTAATTAAAAGGAAAAAATCTGCATAACATTGAAGTAGTGTTGGACATTTACTTACCTTCTGGTGTATCTGGATAGGCACTGGTCTATTTCTTCCTGCATTTCAATTGGTATGAATGACCTACCAGAATACTCAATAGTTGAAGCTGGAGGACGTAGCTGCAAAATAAAACAATCCATGAATAACACGAAATAAGAGTATATAAAATATGCTTCAAAGCACTTAGTTATATTATTAATTTACAACTATATCATATTGGTCTACATTAGAATTGGGGCTTTGACTAGAAAGTTGCTGATACCCAGGTGCATCTAAGATTTCTTCATCTGAAACTTGGACCTTTTGGGGATCACCCTTTTTTGAATCAGTATGTACATCATAAGTCAAAAGACGCGTCTAAAAAAAATATTGTTAGCCCTAATAAAGTAGGAATGCACATCATTAATTAGAAATTAGAATGACGCACTTACCGATTGGGCCAGAGATTCAAGAACACCCTTTATTGCTCGTTCCACTTCTTTAGGGTCTTCATGGATTGTCTCATCACACATATCTGCATCTTGTGCTTCTCTTATTGGTTCTTCGGCGTCTCCGGCCTATAAGGGAACATCAATATTTCTTATTGTTTGTTCAGGTACATCTATATTTACAGGAGCAACAATATCCACATCATCAATTTTTCTTCGTCTTCTCTTAAATTGGTATTGAGATGCAGGGGGGTCCACTTTCCTCTTTTGCTGATGACCACTGCTGCTGGTCTTCTTACTTGTATCAGATATTGTTTTCTCAGCGAACTTCTTAGTCTTGGTTTCAACTAATCTATGCACCAAACCTGTTAGGGTGGACAATGCTTCTACCACAGTATTCATCTTTGCACTCATACCAGTAACAATTTCTTGTATATTTAAGCTTATTTGTTCCTCATATTTCAGCATCTCATATAGTACCCAAAAATCAGCACTTTCCATTGTATGTCCGGGTACTGGGGTTATATCACTAGAAACAATTGTACCCCTGGCATACGATTTTGATGAAGATGGTCTTTCAGTACTTTCGTGATGTGGAAGTTGCCTTGCAGGGATCGGCGGTCCCTGCTTTGGATTTTCGAGGAGTTGTACTTCATCATCACTCAAAGCTAAGAATCCGTCATTGACCTACAATGAAAATGTATTCGTCAGAATCGTTGCAATCACTCTTAGAAAGCTACTAAAAAAGATGTGCCAATAAACTGTAATCAAAATTAAATGGTTTACATGATCAAGCCTCTTGAAGGCTTCATGAATCTTCTCAGCACTCAACCCATGATTGGTTGGCCACCTCAGCATGCGAAGTCTAGGGTCAGGAGCATCAGGAGTTAAAAGAGAGGTGTGCTAGTAAAACCAAAGCTGAGGGTGTTTTAGACCATCAACATGTATGCAAAAGTCAGGACATCAAACAAAAAAAATCATAAGAGGATGTTTCAATGTAAATAACAAATACTTACTGTTAGGAGAAATACAAATCCTTGAATGTAGCCAATTGACTTATTCTGCATTAATTTCACTGTCGTCAGGCTATATTTGCGGTTCTCACTTGATTGATGATCATATCACATATGGCAGCAGGTCAATTAAAGGACGAAAAAACTTGTACATTTATAACAAAAGAAGATAGCTCTGCAGGCACATGAAAATTGCTTGTAGGAAAAAATAAGTTAGTTAGTAAAAATTTCAAGTATAACTGCTCAAAAGGTGGGGCGGAGGCTCCTTCTGCAAAAAAGTTTGTCAGTTGGTTCTTTATTTGTCTGGCATCCACATTTGATAGGGGTCCTTTTTTCCATGAAGCAAACTCTCCTCTGTTCGGCATCCCTATCAATAGAGCCACGTGGTCAGCATGTAACTTAACCTCCTTTCCACCCATTTTGAAGATACCCCTCTCATTATCCCAACATCTCAAAATATGTAAAGTCATGACATTGTCCTGGGGATATGGGGGCATGTCAAAGAAGTTGAACACCCTAATTTCCTTTAAATTATTAATGGTCTCCTAGATGGACGACATCTACAGTTGAAAGTCCTTGCACTCATGATCCTGAACATTAAAGAAATAATGACACATTATTAGAATAACAGTCACAAGAAGGGAATAATACATGAGTAACACACCGACATAATACAATAATAACCCTACATAGGAGCATGGATAATACAAAAACATAACTAATTACACACCTCTAACACAAGAGTAGTACATGAAACGCACTTAATTAATAATACCCCTAAACAAATCAATAATACATGAATAACACGCCAATAACACACCAGTAACACAGTAAAAACAGAGGAAAGTAATACACGAATAATAGAAGAGCAATGCAAGAATAACACAGGAAACCTATGACATTAATTAATAATAACCCTAAACCCATCAATAATACACAAATAACACGAAAATAATGCATGAGTAACACACCAGTAACACAATTAATGCGCAGTAGAATAACACAGTAGAATAACACATTACTAATACATGAATAATACAAGAATAACACTAAAACTATGTAATTAATTAACAATCACCCTAAACTGAAGCATATGACATCAATATTACATGAATAACACATCAGTAACATAATAGTAACACAGTTAAAACACAGGAAAAAATATATATGAATAAAACACAAATAATACAATAATAATACATCTAAACTATGTCATGGAGATATCTGTGAGTCCAACGAATTTGGAGTAGTGCAGTTATAAAGTAGGGTTTTTTCTGTGCTAATGATTCAAATCCATGATGTGTTATTCATGTGGTATTGCCGTGTTATTGTTGTGTTTTTGATGTAGTATTAGTATATTTCTGATGTGTGATGCTATTGATATGGTATTGTTGTGTTATTGTTGTGTTACTGGTGTGTTACTCGTATTTCCCGACTCTGGTTTAGGTGCATACCGTGATTTTAACGAACGAGTCAACGCCATGACCTTCGCTTCCGCCGGAGGATGCGTTTTGCCGGAGGGTTTCGTCGGAGGATGCGTTGCGCCGGAGGTTTTCGCCGAGGAAGAGTAAGCCCTAAACTCTCGTAAATGTGTGTAGAAAGTAAAAATGTGGTTCGGGAAAAGTAAAAAAGGTTCGGTTAATAATTGGGCCGGGTCGAAAAACAATAAAAAATAATATTTATTTTAAATTTTTTTCGTTTAAAAGGTGGGACCGTAGTTTAGAGCTGACGCCAACTTATTGGATAGGCACTTTCCTTAAGCTGCATAGTACTGATGAATAATTTTCCCCTAACGAGTGACCTTCTCACTTCTTTTCCTCAGATTACCATTCCCTCCCACTTCTCCCTTGGCGCCACTTTTTTTGAGACCAGAATCCAAACCAGGTGATATCATAGAACCTGTGCCCAGAAGACAGAAAGATAGGGCCGATTTGGAAGGCGAAGCGTCGGTCGCCAGCCTAAAAAAATTCCAGGTATTCAGCCTTGAAGGCTTCTAAACATTTTTTTAAGCTTACATTTTAGGAATCCACTGCCTTCGGGGGTGGCATCTGCGTGGCTTATCTTAAATCCCGCCTACTCTGTTTGTTTATCTCGCAATCCGTTTTATTTCGATCCTCAAAATGATACCTTTTTGAGGGCTTTGCTCGAAATTTTGATTTTTCGCTTGAGGAATTACACATTTTATTTTAACCTATCGATTTCTCTATGTTCGCGTAGTCGCTGTTTGCATGCGAGGGTTTTATTCTGAGTGTTTCTTTTCTGCAATGTTGTTAGAAGAAGGGTCTAGTTTGTTTCTACTTGGGATAGTCTTATGTGTCTTTAAAAATTTTTTCAAGATGATTTATGCTGTCCTCTTGACGACTTTTTTTCCCTCAATTCTGATGTTGCTGAATTGGTTAAGAGTCGAAGGTCCACTTTCTCCAGGATAGATTAATGTTTTCGTAGTTTTCAAAATGTTATTATCCTTGCTGGTTAGTGTGCAATTTCTGTATCTTTTCCAAATCTTGGAAGGGAGTACACCTCATTACAACGGAAATATTTTCAACAAATTGTAATTTAGTGACCATGAGGAGAGAATTGAGACGTAGTTTCTTCCGTGAAAATGAAACTGGTACATAAACTATTCAAAGAAATAACGAGTTTTGAAAGACAGAAATTGATGGGAATACTGCTAAAACTAAATCTAATGTTCAATGATGTTGGTCCTATGGAGGTCCGTTCATTGAACGGGATGAATCTGCATCTAAATAAATCTCGCACAATGGCTGGAATAACACTAGACAATAGGGGATTGATTTGGTGCTTTGGTAAGGATATCAAAAGTTTGATATTTTGTTTGTGTAACTAACTTTGATAATTTTTATTTAATTTTCTTCTTTATTAAGCGTGTTTCAATCTCGATATGCTAATATTAGCTTGATTGTCACACCTTCTTACCTCTGATTTTTTAGTGGAAACTTTTAAATTTTTGAGAAGATGTTTAAGCCACATACCTTCATAAATACTATGGGCCATGGCATTGAATTCACTTTTGCATTGCTTCTTGCAACAACAAACTGTTTTTAACTTTTTACTTTGCTAAATTTTTCTATATAAAGGAGTAATATCTATATGTTGATCTATGATCAGTTAAAAATCTTGTCCAATCATCATCAATGGAGATTTCTGTATTTTTGTAGTCTCTTTCTTGAAGAATACTCATTTTTCTATTATATTTTAAAATGCCATGGATTTCTGTATACACCATTAAGATGTTTCTTTTTAGGGTTATTAATATACTGCATAACAATACTCATAGAAAAGCATGTTTGCAGGTTCTTAGCTTAGCATTTTAGTTTCCTTTAGTAAGTACAAGGTATGTGCCTTCACATGACACTTTAGAAATAAAGTGTGGTTTAATGCCTTTCAACTATTATAGTGAATCTATCAAATTAGACTCTTGGTGATTAGATTACGTCTTTCAAATGGTTTTTGAATATGCAAACATAATTTGTAGTATTATTAGTCCCACACTATGAGGAATTGTCCTAAAAAAATATTTTTCTTCTAATTCTCATTTTAGAATGTTATTTATTTATTTAGTTGATAAAGTGGCTAATTTAAATTACCCCATCAATGTTCTTCTTTACTTCAAAAGTTCCTTGATAATTTATTTTATAACTTTGAGCGAAGCCTTTTGCAACTAATCTTATTTTATATCATTCAATTATTCTAATAGCTTTGTATTTTATGTTAAATATCCTACTACATCCAATGGGTTTCTTCCCTTTGTGAAGGTTTGAAAGTTTTCAAACATCGTTGGATCCTATTTTGTCCGTGGGCTATTGTAGAACTTATTAATTTAGAGGAAGAAAGAGAAGCGTGTAGAAATGAATATATAAGAAGGCTAAGAGAGAAGGGAGAATTTACCATGATACTCAAGAGGCTACATTATAGAAGGAATGTGGAACTCTTGGTTCTTCTTATAGGTAAGAATTCAGTGCATTGAGTGTTAAAGAAAATGCTAAAGATATAGCTATAAAGGTAATAAGAATATTGAAAAATAAAAAAATTAGGATGGGGCCGGGGGGGAGTTGTTGAGTCGGGGGTGGGTTGTAACTTAAGTATAAATTCAAACTCTGAGTGGTAGTCAATCAACAATTTTGAAGGAGTTATTTTGTCTCTTAGCAGCAACCATAAATTAGCCACTAATTTGGGTCGATCATGAGAGCACGGTGGTCGGTGGCAGCATTAGGTGAATACCTTATGAGCCTATATGGATGCCCCTTCAATTAGCAAGCGAGTTCACTGGGGACCCAACTAGTGAGTCGACATTTAGCTTCACTGACGATTTGTACTTAATAATTTGACAAGTGTTACCCAAATGTGGTCTAGCATACTTTTCTTGCTCTTTACCTGCTAAGTCTACCCATAGGATATACACGTATTATTTCTTTCGAGGTTTTAAAATTTTTCATGAACTATATTTCTCCATTAAAGGGGTTTTAATGCTTTTGACACCATTCTAGGGTTCTTAGAAGGTGTTTAAAATCAGATTTATTAGAGAGGATGTTATGGAATAAGAAGGAAGAGAATATGCGAGTTCAACTGAGTTTGGAAGGGGGTAGAAGAAGTTTGGAGTAGATAGAACAACAAAATGACAATTTCGGATAGGACAACTGTCGAGAGAGACCCACCACCTATTCTTCAACAAGCTACAAACATATTACTTACGAAAGAAGAAGATACACACTTCTTTGGGCAAAATAATTAGAGGACACAATTCTCTAAATATATAAATCAATACAAAATTCCAAAACTAGATTCTAAAATAATATACTTATACCAAATCATAAATTAAACCCTATCAGAAATAAAAAAAAAATGTAATAAATAGGGGCTCCATAAGGCCAGACAACAATAGTAGTTGGGAAAAGTTTCTGTTACAATCAAATTGGGATGGACTGCAGTCCCGATTCATGATCTAGTGTCATCGGGAATGGTGGGTTTGCTCCTGCGTCAGCTTCATAGATATTGTTTGATATTTTATGCTAGAAAGGTTTGTGGTTTATAACTTGTGATATAATTTGTCAAAAAAATGTAATGATTGATTAAGTGTTTGGTGTAAGTTTTTGTTTTTTATTATGTGCAATAAGAATGTTTAGACTTCAAAGTTGATGTTTCCTTGTGAGTTGGAGCTATGGCTTGAATTAGACATTGGATTTAGTTAAGGAAAATGCTTTGTTTTAGTTTGTTTGTTGAATTGTTTAGTTGATTGGAATCAATAAATTTTTTCTTACCTCACTTGTTTTTTTATAAACCCGAATATATTAATTAAACAATGATTTAGGTACGTTAAGGGCATTTATCATCAAATTAGATCTGGGCATTGGGTAGGTGGCCTGACTGGCTCTCTATAAGTCTGCTTAGAATGAGGCCGACCCGCGCCAAGCCCAACCTACACATTGGCCTGGTCTCATAAATATATTTCGCAATTGCATGATTTTGAGGCGATTAATTTCCTCATCATTTCTTTTTTTTTATCTAGCCATAATTTCTTATTTTTATATTAATACCAACTAAATCTGTTATATCACATAAAATTATCACTTTTAAATTTTTAAAAAAAATGAAATACAACTTTCATGCATATATAATATGACAAATTTATAAAAATTGAAGTCCAAGTGTTAAGTATGTAATTAAAAAGAATTTGATAAGTGGTATGTATGTAAATCTTTTTTTTTGTTTTGGTATTTTACTCAACTTCTTTGTATTTACATATAGAGATGTTCTAGTTTAAACTCTTACGTATTTCGTGTGTATACATTTGTTATTAAATTCACATGAACGTACAAGAAAAATTCGTACATATAAAATCAATTTAAAATTTTTGTCGCACATCTTTTCATATTTCAAACGTTCATATTGCATATATTTTTTTAATATTTTAAATTAACATGATTCAAAAGAAAATGTTAAAGATTTTATTATTTATTTATTTTTTGGTATGCAAATTATTTTTCTTTTAAAGCCCATGACAGCCTGCGGGTCCGCCCGACCCATTTATTGGGCAGGTCTGACTATGAAATTATAAATAAAATTCATACTTAAGCCTGACCCAAGCCCACTTTGACTAGTTAAAATCCGAATAAATCGATCTGTGCCAGCCCACCCTGCCTAACACTCAGATCTACATGAAATGCTAGACTATAACCTGACAAAAAGGGTACAAAGATTTCATTTAGATCATCTAGTTTGAAGTTTGGTAAAAATAAGATTAACGATAAATTTTATTCTAATTTTTTTACCCTTTATGGTATAGAGATCATTCAATATTTTATTCAATAGGAATTCAACACTTTGAAATTTGAAATCAGAATTAAAAACATGTTATGACAAATATTCAATTTTTTGTTAATAAGGGGAAAATTTTATGGAATTTTAAGAACTTGTAGAGAATTGTTAGTGATAATTTCACTATTAGGTGAAGTGATCAATACCAAGGGGCTTGGAGAAGCAGGAACATCAACTACTTTTATTCAAAGAGGAATTGAACATTGATCTTGGCTTTAAGGATAGTTTGAAAAACAGAAGGGTGATCTTCCGCATTATGGTCATCAGGTGTAATGCCTAGAAATTTAAATAGATGATTTCTCGACTTGAGCTGAGCTTTAAAACATTTATAGAATTTATGACTTAAACTTTTGCAAGAGGGGCAACATGGCCATAATTTAAATTTCAGCTTCCATTATTTAAACTATGAAGATCAAATCCATACATTTTTTTATGAAAAGTGCAATAATGTTTAATTCAAAACTTTAAAAAGGATCATAATAAAATGAGCTATTGCAGTATGGTCAATAGGTGTAATGTCTAGAAATTTAAATAGATGATTTCTCTACTTGAAATAAGCTTTAAAACATATATAGAATTTATGACTAAAAATTTAGCAAGAGGGGCAACATGGCCATATTTTAAATTTCATCTTCTA